AAACCCTTTTAATTTAAAATATTTTCGCGGACATACAAACCTATCGATGTTTTTGTATTCCAAAATTAAATGTGACTTAATTACGTGAAGGAATTTTAACTCTGAAAACACATTTATCCTGTAATCATCTATGCTAAACTGTAGATCCGATTTACAGGTTTCTACACTTAGAACACTTGTATTGGTAGATTAAGTGTCGACTTAATTACGTGAAGGAATTTAAACTCTGAAAACACATTTATCCTGTAATCATCTATGCCAGCAGATATCAAACTCTAGTAACCCGAGAAACCCGAGAAAATGTTTTATTTCATATTAATTTAATTTTACGAAAAATATATTTTATTTCACAAATCATATTTTGTAAAATATTTTTATGTAATTTTGAACACGAATGGCGGACACCAGATCCTGAAACGCTGATCTAAGCTTCAACCCATACTTAAAGCATCATTTTACTAAAATTTTCCTTGTTTAAAACAAAGGGTAATTCCTCTGTTGCTATTTCCATTAATTTCTTTATGAAACATATCAAGGCATGTTGTTGTCACAATGACAAATTATTATTACAGATACAATGACAAATCGTTGTTATATTTACAATGGCCAATTATTATTACAGATACAATGACAAATCGTTGTTATATTTACAATGACAAATCGTTGTTATATTTACAATGACAAATTATTATTACAGATACAATGACAAATCGTTGTTATATTTACCATGGCCAATTATTATTACAGATACAATGGCCAATTATTATTACAGATACAATGGCAAATCGTTGTTATATTTACAATGACAAATCATTGTAGAGGAAGCACCAGAAATGCTATTAAACAAATAAAGTAAATACGAAGGTTCCCATTCAAAACTAGCAGGATTCAAACAGTGTCCTGCCATATGAAAATAAACAATCCCGAAACCAGTGGTATTGTCCAAAATACCGTGATATATATAACTGTACTGAACATGAACCTTTTGAAACATGGAAAAAGCGAAGCTTGTGTTTGTGTTGTACTTCTGATTGATATCATCAGCGTCAAGACTCCTCGTGTTATTATGCCAGGGAATGTACTTGTCAGGACTGGATTAAACTGGGCTAATCCTCTATAAATTTCACAGAAAGGTTCATCTATAAATAATTTATCACACAGTGGCACAACGGTATGTATGCGGAGGACTTACAACGCTAGAATCCGGGTTTCGATACCCGTGGTTGGAAGAGCACAAATAGCTTATTGTGTATCTTTGTGCTTAACTTCAAACTAACAATTAAAAAAAAACAACACAAAAACCCGAAGTTTGGCTTTCTTTAAACAGAATTCGCACGAAAGTTACTGCTAAATTGCTATGTTTTAACGATTTTTTGTAAACTGTTCTTTTTCTCGTATGTATATTTGTGTGTGTATACGTGACTTTTTTTCCCCCCTTCAAACAATACGTGACTTTTTTTTCCCTTCAAACATTATACGTAACACCAATTGCATGATAGAATGAAACACTTCTTATGTTAAGTTCGGGCTTACACGACTGATTTATAGGTTTAAACAGAATTATTACTAAACATAGATAATATTTACCAGTCATTCATCAGCTGAAGCCTGAACTTACATAACTCAGTCATCTTTGCCTGAATTAGAAAATAGTTTTAAGTTGGCGAAATTTATTTTAAAAAAAAATCAAGATTATTAAATTCTGCATGAACGGATCTGGTGTAATACTTGGTTATATCCATTCTGCATGAACGGATCTGGTGTAATACTTGGTTATATCCATTCTGCATGAACGGATCTGGTGTAATACTTGGTTATATCCATTCTGCATGAACGGATCTGGTGTAATACTTGGTTATATCCAATCTGCATGAACGGATCTGGTGTAATACTTGGTTATATCCAATTGTGAGATAAGAGCTTTTACAGTTAATTGGTTATATCCAATTGTGAGATAAGAGCTTTTACAGTTAATTGCTGGTTTAATACTTGGTTATATCCAATTGTGAGATAAGAGCTTTTACAGTTAATTGCTGGTTTAATACTTGGTTATATCCAATTGTGAGATAAGAGCTTTTACAGTTAATTGCTGGTTTAAAGTAGCAGCGTTATATCAAAACCATAGAACTTTAAAAAAAGAAGACAGTGAAGTTAAAAAGGAGATAAATCTCATTGTTAAGAAGTAGAGATCCTCCTCACAAAACCGGATGTAAAACTTTGATAAGCTACCAACATTTCTGAATACAATCGATATATTATACATCCAAACGGTGCGCACTGCCATTGTTAACCACTTGGTTCGACCTAGTTCCGGCTGCCTTTCACAAATGTCTTCTTTCGTATGAGTAGAGAGTGTTAGAGAACTTCGTAAAGAAGAATTATTATACAAATTAACTCCCACGGATAACGCACTAAGAAAATACACTATGACTGGTTGATTCTGTACTTGGTAATTTTCCTCTGTTTAAGGAAGAAACGGTGCCATTTTCCTCCCATTTTGCACTAACAACGATACCGGTAACAATGGTACCAATAACCAGTAATA